TTTTATATGAAAGCTGATAGTTCTCGTGTGGTCCCATATGAATTTGATTAAGGTCAGACCAATGTTTATTGAGTTATTCTTAAATAACCTATATTGAAGTCAGCTGTACAAAATTTTTAATTTTAAATTATTCCGGACCGATACGATGGGACCTTCAAGAAACGAGCTTACTCCTTTTTAAAAAGCCGGCAACACGCCTACTACTCCCCTGGTGTTGTATTTGTTAATAGGCGGTGGTCGACACATGCCATCAGGTGAGCCGCATGCACCTTTGTCCCACTCTTCTATATAGACAATTATCTTAAAGTTATATTTATGTTCTGGAAGTGGGAGTAATTTTCTGCCGACTTCCAAAAAGGAGACGGTACTCAATTTGACTGTATGTTTTTTTTATGTGTGTTACCTCATAACTTTTTACTGGTTGAACCGATTTCGATGATTCTTTTTTTATTTGAAAGCTAGTACTTCTCGTGTTGTCCCATATGAATTTGGTCAAGGTAAGACCATTAGTTTTTGAGTTATTCTTAATAACTTATATTGAGTCGGCTGTAATTTTTAATTTTTATTGTGATTTCAGTTTGTACCGTTCACGGTCAGGAGCCTAAAAGTTAAAACTCTAAAATTCTTATACAACTAGGATAGCACCATAATTTTTCGAACGTCATCCTTGGAGGCCGAGGGGCCCGTTTAGCTTGGGAGCCCCGGTGCACTGCCCCGCCTAGCCCTGGGTAGCTACGCCACTGTCTAATTATTAAACGTGCGAATAAATATGGAGCCGTGATAGCTCAAAGGCGCTTGCTGTAAATTTCACAGTAATTTAAGTGCTGATTTACCATGTCCTGCACGGCTAGCATGGGCTGGGGACAAAAAATTTATCCACCGATTATATCCACTGACAAGGGATAAAATTTCCTTGTCCCTATGCCAAAGCACGGCAACGGGGAGAAGTATATCCCCGTTTGACATAACGAGTAGACACAAATCCCCCGTCCGTAGCATATTTGAAGGGGAAAATTTTATCCCAGTTCATTAGACGTGGGCTTAATATAAAATTCATACAGAAAATCTATTTAAGTCTAAGTCTATCTCCCATTTTATCTACTGTGGATATTATATCCACCGGTGTGACCATGCTCGAAGGATGGATAAAACTAAGCGAGGTGATAAACGTTTTTTCCTTTCCCCGTGGATAAAATTGTCTCCTGCCCATGCTAGCCCGGCTGGGCGGTGAAGGCAAACATCGTTAGGAAACCTGCATGTCGGAGAAATTAAAATAGTTCGAAGACGGGTAAAGTTCGCTAACACGCATTGGGGCAGCGGCTGACATAATTATGTGTATTACGCATATGACATTTCTTTACCTTAAAACTTAGAAACGAGATCTGTGCTAAGCATTGGGACGTTTAACCTTACTTACTTTTGAGCAAATAAAAAATTTGTTGCTGGCTGATAACGACTGAGTAGCATTTTATTATTATGGCCTTTTTATTAATTTAACTTGAACTGCGAGCGAGCGAGCACTTACCTCCTGGGGTACTCCGGCCACGGGTCATCAGTTCAAGTATTCTTTAATTTTATAATAACATACATGTTTTGTTTGTATGTTCTGCGATATATTCATCACTTGTAAACCAATTTTAATTACCTATTGTTTTTAATTGAATAGGTTTGCACTTCAGGGGTGGCCCTATTTGGAGAAATTTGGAGAAAAAAGTTCCACTCCAATTAGGAATAGCGGAGGAGTTATCAATGTAATTATTTAGGCGACTGTCTTGTTATTTTACCTGGAGGTTGTGTTGTTGCTTAGGACATTCAGAGGGGTGAAATACATAGAATAAAATAGTTTTCATGTAGTTTAGTAGCTTCTGAAGTTGGGACTTTAATTCTTCGATACACTATGCCTACTAGTAGTAGCACTGACTTCAGAAGCTATTATGTTAAAGTTCTTATATTCTTTTTTTGTTCTTTGAAGTTGGTTTTACTTTTTTAATTATTTTAAATAAAAACTTCTTTAGAATAATTGTGATTTGAAACTCGATGAAACAAAAAAGCGACACTAAAGAGAGATAAAAATATAGATCTATAGAAATTAGCCTGCGCTCTCGCTCTCGGATTCTCTAATGATATAGAATAGAGTATACAGTGTTTCCTATTATCTCAGTTTCTTTCCCTGAAGGTTTCACTCCTACCGCGTGTAAACTGCACGCATGTTTTTTTTTCTATAATGTATCCTCAACCCATGAACCAAAATTTAAGACTTTACCAGTTACTACTAAACAGTTAAGGATTTCCCTCAAACAGAGACAATAATAAGGTGTGTATCAAAATTTAAGACTTGTCAGTAACCGTAATAGAATTCAATTAGGCTGAAAATGTTCCGCTCACCAGATGTCGCTAGTTGACACTGAGGTCTGAGGTTGAGTTTTGTCTTGTAAGAATGTCTTTTACCTAATTGAGAAGTTACTTTAAAATAAAAGTTAACCAGTTTCTAGAGTATTATTTTAATACACAAAACAATACCTCAGTGGTTTGTTCTTTAATTTTCGCACATTTTTAACTCTTAATCACTTGAATATCTGTGGTTTAGTTTATTAATTTTTAATCTAATTAATATAAAACATAACTAATAGTACAGAAAGAAATATTAACCTTTACATTTTTCGAACAAATTTACTTCCCCGCTATGAAATCTGTTAAATATAAGAACTCATGTTTAAGTGGCGCCGCCCTGGTGGCAGAAAAAGTGGTGTGGATGCATTAATTAAAAGAACTTGTTACTATTAGATTGTTTGATAATTTTAGATAAATTTAGTAAAAATAATTGTTTGATAAATTTAGTAAAAATTTGAAGATTAATTAAGCAAGGAAAAGCTTCCGTCAGTTTTATCATAATATTTTGATTAAATTAATGACAAATAGTAAAGTTCAAAGCACTAGTAAGTAACTAAGTAGCTCGCTAAGTAAAAGTTTAATAAAATAAAAGCAGATTAAATTTTAGTATGGAGTGTGACCCCTTCTTGCAGAAATCACAGCTTACATTCGTCTGGGCATGCTATCGAGTATATCTCTTATGGTTTCTTACGAAATACGTTACCATTTCCCACTCCTTGGTAATAACATCTTTAGCTGTCTGATGGTCTGCGGAGCTTGCTGCACTGATCCCATTCGCCTCTTCAGAACGTCCCAGACATACTCTATGGTATTTAGGTCAGGACTGTGAGCTGGCCTATCCAAACAACGAATTCCGATTTCTAGCATAATACCCTTCCACATCACTAGGGCGCGAGCTTTATCGTCTATAAAAATTGAGAACATTTCAGAACTTCCGTTATGTATCGGTCAGATCAAGTCAGTGCAGGGGGTCACTAATAATAAAATATGTCGAGTAAATTAGACTTTATAGCAAAATACACAATTTTATTGCACACATTATAAAACAAATGGAAGTCTACTATTTTTATTGGTAAATTGGGTGATAATATTTGCGACGTCTGGGGCTATCTCTAGGTGAATATTTAGAAGAACTAACCCAGTCAGCCTCTCTTCTAACATGTTTGCTCTCAACCAAGTTTTTACGTAGGTAAGTCAATATGTTTAGAGATATACAAAAAGTATTCTAGATACTATTAATATTAATTTTATATCTTTTCAAAATATTCTCCATCATGCTATATACAAAGTTCCATTCGCCTAAACCAACTCTGAAAACACTTTTGCCAGTCTTGATCTGACAGGTCGGAAATCGCTTCTTCGTAGGCAGCCACGGTTACTACAGCCCTTGAAAAAAACTTGCCTTTTATTTTTTCTTTGACTCTTGGGATCAAAAAGAAATCAAAAGGAGCTAAGTCAGGGCTGTAGGGTGGGTGACTTAGACTTTCAACACCAGATTCCTCAATAAATACTTTTGTTCTAAGGGAGGTATGTGAAGAGGCGTTATCGTGATTCAGCATGATTCCCCGAAGCCCGGTCTTTGGTCTTCTCTCCCGCACAGCTTGAAAAGCTTTGGATAATGCAACTGTAGTATACCATTCAGAGTTGACTGACCCACAATTTTCCAACATTGACGTCGACAAATGTCCGCTCCGCGAAAAAAAACTATCCACCACTTTTTGCCGACGTTGCGAGGTCTTTGCAGTTTTGTCGGCAACTGTCCTTCTGAGTAGACCCATACCGATGACTGCCTTGTATTTTCCAGTTCATATTGATATATCCATGTCTCGTCACCAGTAACGATATGTGAAACACGCCTAGATGCCCCGTTTTCAAAACGTAGAGGCATTTCATGGCGCCAATCCACACGAGTCTGTTTTTCGCTTTCGGGGAGCAAATTCCTCACTCCAAGATGTTGATGTAGGTGCTGAAGCCAAATCAGTGGTTTTTAGAATTTTTGTCTGTCTGTCTGTCTGTGTATTACCTATTCACGCAAAAACTACTGGACGAATTTCCATAAAATTTTATATGTAGGTAGTTAGTACTCCGGGGCAACTTATAGGCAAATTTTTACCCGATTACGGAACTTAAAAAAGAAGGTTAAGTATTTTTCTTCCTTTAGATGTTAATTTTCTATTATATATGATTATTTTAGTTAATAGGCGGTATGACAGGTGTTTTTTCAAATAAATATTATATTTGTAAATTAAGTTTAAAATTAGTTTTAACCTTTGCATAACAATTTGAAACTCCGCTGACGATAAACGTTTTAATTATCAAAACAGCGCCATCTATCATCAAATGAAAAATGCCTTTAAAAAAGAAGACCACGCGCGCGAAGCCGCGGGTAAAAAGCTAGTTACTTAATATGTAGGAGACATTTTTATAAGCATTTTATCTAAACTTGCGTAGGTAGTAACTTATTCAATGTGTGTATTTAATCGTCGTGAAACGTGTTTAGTTCACTGCCGCTATTAGAGAGCGAGGGTCAAATACATGCGGTTATGAAACAAAACATCATACTTAAACTATAAAGTGTACAATTTGTGATACATTATTTATTTAGAAAAATGGATAAAATAGAAGAAATTCTTTCTGAACCAATCCAAACTGTACTTGTGTTTTTTGTCAATGGGAAGAAGGTACGTTTTAGAACAATACTATAACTATACCTAACACCAACAACAAATTCTACCTCGCTAGAGAAAAACTATTGAGGTTGTTGCTTATAAATATGTATCTACTTTCTAAGAAGTAAATATTTACATAGATGTTGTTTTTCAACAAATACTATATAATATACGTATTTCGAGTTCAGATACAAGGAAATATACGTGTACAAGGAAATGTTATTAAGTAAGTACTTAACGGCTAGGCTAGGTAGATAGTAGGTACTATACTCTAAGCATCTACAGTAAATGCCTTACCGGTTAACGTCTGTTTTCTACCGACTTCAAAAAGGAGACGGTATTCAATTCGATTGTATGCTTTTTTTAAATGTGTGTTACCTCATAACTTTTTATTGGGTGAACCGATTTCGACGATTCTTTATTTATTTGAAAGCTGATGCTTTACGTGTGGTCCCATATAAATTTGATTAAGGTCTGACCAATAGTTTTTGAGTTATTCTTAATAATTTATATTGAAGTCGGTTGTACAAAATTTTTAATTTTAAATTATATCCGTAATAGTCGATCTTAATTAGTGGTTTAAAGTTGACATTTGGTGTTAAAACGATATTACTCTTTTAGCTTCTTAAACAAGCTCACTAGTGGTACAATTAGAATAAAAATCTGTAAAATAGTTCTCAAGTTATAAGTGAAAATAGTTCAAAAATTTTAAATAACTGTTGTGTTCTTACGACGAACTTGACCAGCCTGCTGGACTGGTCATCGTCCCTACGACTGGCGTGTATGTAGCGAGTAGCAAGTGACCGTCGTCTGTATTACAATGTCACCTCGAAGAGTTAATTGCGCGGGATGTCGCGACGTAATTATTGAAGGTAACCCGTTTATAAGATGTGTCAAATGTAAACAGTATTTTGACTTGTTATGTGCAAATGTATCTGCACAGATGTACGTTACGCTCTTTTCTGATTTTAAAACCTCTTGGATTTGCGTTGAATGCCGTTATAAAGTACCTAAAGGTGATAACTTACACAAACATCAGTTCGTCAACAATTAACGCATGATATGAGTATTGTTAGTGATTGCCCCGTTATATCTATTAATAGCCCGGACAAAACTTCCAGAAAAATCGAGTGCTCTAGTAGTTTGTTGGAGAAAATTCGGGTTTCTGTTGTGCATGAATAATTAAAAGAAATGCAGAATAGTTTTGAAAAAAAAAATTGACTACTAAAATTAGTATTTTGATTAGTGAACAATTTTTCACATTTAAAACTGAAGTTTTTAATATGATGACTGGGTTAACATGTAGAATTATTGAATTAGAGAATAAAATTGAAATATGACTAAATCGCCTCAATTGCGGCGAGGAGACTAGTACAACTGCATCATTACCCACAGTCCTCCCGTTAGCTCCCACCAATATTCCAAAAGTCCAACAAAATAAAAAGAAGTGGAATAATGCCAAGCAAGATTTTAAGGCTTCCAATGGGTCAGTTACCACTCCATAGAGCTCGGGGGTCGATCGAACAACCAATGCCTCCGTGAATAATACTGCCTTGAATGTGGATCAAGTAGGGGAATGGGTGGTAGTGAAAAAGACTAAAAGATTGAGAGCTTCGTTACCTGGAGTGCTTCGAGATACTGCGGCGCCAGGTGCTACATCTATGTGCGCTGAAGAAAGGTTGAGGTACCTGCACTTGTATTATGTACAACTGTCGAACAGGTGCAGGCTCATCTTACTTTTATAATATGTGGAAATGACGTTTGCACTGTGGAAGTGTTGCAATCACGTGGAAGATACTCGTCGTTTAAGCTAGGAGTTCCGGCCAAACAATCTGAAAGTATCATGTCACCGACGCATTGGGCAGAGGATATTTGTGTTAAACCTTGGCGCCAGAACTTTCGTACCAAAGAAAATAATACGCAGCAATAGGCCTCAACGGTTTATGAAAATAACTGTGTTATCAAAATGTTCGTGGTTTGCGTTCAAAAATAAGGACATTTTATGATAATGTGACTCAAGCTAATCTTGACATTATCGCTTTGACAGAGACTTTTTTGACTAGCTCTGTGCCCGATGGTGAACTTTTTCTCTCAAGCTATGTTGTGGTTCGTAAAGATAGATTAGGTGACGTTTGTTGTGGAGGAGTATTGTTGGCTGTGCATGATAGCTGCGAGGTTCGGGTGATTTCGGATATTGACGGTATAACACCTGATAAAGAACTAGTATTCGCACTTGTGAGCTGCAAAAATCTAAAGTTTTTATGTTGTGTGGTGTACCTGACACCAAATTATTGCGACGATCAGTATATTGATGTTCTGACCTGGATAGAAAATGCTTTGTGTACTTATTCAAATATGAATGTATTAGTATTAGATGATTTTAATCTTACTTGTTGCAGAACTAATGTTTAAACTCAATTTAACATTTTTTGTGACTTCTGTAATCTACAGCAACATAATTATGTATTTAATACTCGCGATGACTTGTTAGATCTCGTGTTGAGTAACTATGACCGTAACCAACTGGAGGTGTTGCCTTGATTGGATCCACTCGTGCCAATAGATGAGTATCACCCTTCGTTAGACGTCAAAATCAATCTCTCATGCGGGAAGTTCTTGCCTAGGCTACGGTCTTCGCCTGATCAGAGTTCGGATGTGATCCCTGATTGGAATTGGCGTAAGGCAGACTCTCAATGTCTATATGCTGCGTTAGCTGAATTAGATTGGTCCGAATTAATGTCATTTATAGACGTAAATTTGGCCGTAATTTTCACTAAATACAATTTGCCTCAAGGCCTGTTTTCATTTTGATTAGTGCGAGTGCAAGTGATCAGTAATTGCGAATGAGTAGTGCAGGTGAGTAGTGTAAGTAGTGTCCCAAGTGGGATGAAATCACTCGGGAGCTTATTGAGCGTCAAGCACCGACAATTTTTGGCTATGCGAAAGATCCATTTTAACTCCTCGCAATGACCAGGCATCTGAGATTAATAACAAAATACTGTCGAATATACAGGGGGAAAGCAAAGTTTATAGTTCAATAAATAGAATGGTCGATGAACAAGAAGCCACTAATTACACGATAGAATTTTTAAATTCTTTAAATATGCCCGGACTTCCTTCTCATGAAATTTGTTTAAAAATTGGCATTCCGATTATTCTGCTCCGAAATTTAAGACCACCACAACTTTGCAATGAAACTCGACTAAAAGTAAGCCAGTTGCAACAAAATATAATCGAGGCTCAAATTTTAACAGGTTGCGGTGCAGGAGAAACCGTCTTTATTCCCAGAATTCCCATAATACCAAATAATTTTCCATTCCAATTTAAAAGAACGCAATTCCCAGTATCATTGTGTTATGCAATAACAATTAATAAGGCTCAAGGACAGACTTTTCGTGTTGCTGGAGTAGATCTCGGTGTCAGCTGTTTCTCGCATGGTCAGTTTTACGTCGCTCTTTCCCGGGTTAGCAGTTCTAGAAATCTTTATGTTCACATGCCGGACCGGTCAACTTTCAACATAGTTTACCCAGAAGCTTTGCGCTGAAGTATTTTTGTTCTATAAGTACTTAAGCCTCATGTGAACGTGATCTAAACAATATTACCAATATATTAACTTAATAACACATAAGGAGTTACACTCCATCCAAAGCCCAGCGACACTATAACATATATAGGAATGACGTCTTAGCAAAAGTTGTTTAGTCCGATGGGCATTTCCTGTTGACTTACAAAAATGAAAGATCTAGAACGTGTCGAATCGTCTCGCGAATCACGTTGTTTTCCCGTCCCCGGGCTCTTAGAATTCAACATCAACGATTCAGATCTTCGATTTTGACTATCCCGTTGTCGCTGGCATAAGCAACAGGATCCGCGTACGAAGTCGCGGGCAAAAGCTAGTGTAAAATAAGTCTAATTTAATTGGGACCAAAAAACTCTCTTCTATCTAGGTATCAGCCTCCATCAGATGTAAACATGACGAGATGCGAAGATGTATACGGGTCAATTATACTGTTTCTAAGTATCATAATAATACCTACTTAAGAGTGAAATAAGTTATGATAATACAAGCGTTTTCTCTCTCATTTGGTCTTACTTTTAATTTCGGAAAAGATTGATGGTACTGACACACTTACTCATAAAAAGTATGCTTTAAACTATCATTTTCTGTATCTGTTTGACATTTGCTAGCAAAGAGCATGCTATTTTTAAGCATGATCTTAAATACGCGTGCTGAAAGCAAGCAGTTAGACACACGTGCTATTTAAATGCAGGCTCCCTGCCAAAATGGAAGCTTTGCAAGATAATACAAGTGGTCTAATAAATCAAAACTATCACTTAAGTATATATACTCATCCAATCCAGGAGAGAGAATTTGTGGTTAGCTCCAAAGGCGTTACCAGACGATAGCCCAGTTGTAGGTACAAGAGCACAACATGCAGCTTTACACTTCTATTGCGAATCTTACCTCTTCGGCGTTTGTAATAAGAACGGTACAAATTCCAATATGTAAAGGTCGACGAGCTCATGACTGTACAATAAATAAGACTGGTTGCTTCGCATTTCACAAAAATTTTTTTAGTCTCTAGGGGGAGGGGGGGGGGCAGCTGTCGCTTCCAGCCCCCCCCCCCCCCCCCCCCCCCCTTAGCGATGCCCTGGGTTAGGACCAGGTGGCCTTAAATTCTATTGAACTCAAGCAACACTACTTTTAATCTTGGTATCGACAGCCATTCCGTGTTGCATCGAATTTTAATAACTAGATGCTTTCTAGTGATGGCGATTAACTACAGGTTTCCGAGATAAAAAAAATGAGAACATCTGGTGTGTGCCAAACCATACTGAAACAGACTAGCGGATTTTTCTCTCATCTATATGTCTGATTTACCACGTGCTCGGCAGCAACATTACGAGGAAACAGGCTTGTCTGAAAATATAATACTTCGAAAACATGGGAAGATCACCAACATACACTGCAGTGCGGCGGTATTACTGCTCTAAAACCCACAATCTCCAATCTAATAAACTTTGTTATTTTTAAATCAATTAAAAAACTTTAAGGGCAGTACTATTAAAACATGTAAAGGTGCCTGTGACTTTTTTCCTTTGAAAAAAAAAATATTATAGAATAATATTCAATAACCTAACCCATGCCATTTTCTCTTAGAGATTTCGTTAAGTATGGGATAAGTGGTACCTATAGATTTATATACTACTAGCTGTGCCCCGCGATTTCACCCGCGTCATCACGTGTCGAAGGTGCACGACATGACCTAGTTCAAGCATTTTATAATTGTAATTAAATATTTTATTTGATAGCAATAGATGGAAAAATTGGCATAATTAATGGAGTACTTTTATCTGTCGGCATATTATGTATGATGTAGAGCGAAGTTAAGTTTTATCCACTTTCCCTCCCCCTCCCGGTTGAGCAGTTCTCGCAGTTCTCACCGGGCGGCTAGGGTTTGTGTCGTTCGCGCGCCCAGACAAGTATTGAATTATTTTAATTTTACATTATCTCTTAAACTATACGTCCAAATAACATGGTATAAAGAACAAAGTTTATCGTCATAAAATTGTCTTGATGATGAAGTAACTTTCGTTCGTAAGGATAAATAGGCCATGCCTAATAATAACGCTCATAAATCACTTTTAAATTTTTAATATTTTTTGTCACAAAATACCTAATTGTGGCTTATGTATAAGAAATAGACATATGGTATCGCGGAATTTTTTTTAGTCGGAGTAAAGATCTATATTTTCTAGAACATTGTATTTATATATCCCTAACGATAACAACAGCGTACGCAGATAAATCATTTCGGGAGTGCTTTTTCTACTGACTTGCTTAACAAATATCTATATTTAAGGCTAGCTGAGTGATATAGCTTAATTCTAGATAGCCTATACTATTCCACATGAATCAGGCTATAATATACAAAAAGAATTTTTCAAATCGGACAGGTAGTTCCAGAGATTAGCACGTTTAAACAAACAAGAAAACAAAAAAACTCTTCCGCTTTATTATATTAGTATATATTAGATTTAATTTAATAGTAACTTTTATTCTATTTTAAAAGTATCTTTATTGCTATTTCTTTCTGCGCCGAACATCGGTCACTAATAAAAACCTAGATACCTACACAATCCGTGACTAAAAATGTCCTTACCGAATGAGCGCCCACTCGAACATTTGGGTGCGCTTTTAATTTGTACGTAGCTTTGTGAATACAACTTTAGACAATGCATTTAATGTTGAATTTACAGTAATGTATATTTATTTCAATTAGAATTACGTCAAAACAATTGGCGAGTTTTTAGAGAACTTTTGCATGGGATTGTGTATCTAGTTTTTTATTAGTGATCTATGGCGCCGTATATGAATTTTGGCCCGCGTTAATGAATCTTATATAAGAGGGCAGGTCAATATTTTCGTGAAATGAAGGTGGTATTATTTATTTCCAAAAAATAATAACCGGCCAAGTACGAGTCGAACTCGCGCACGAAGGGTTCCGTACCATCGTTTAATTGATAATTTATTTTTATTGTTGTTATAGTGGCAAGCCCACTGCCAGACAGACAGATAGACGGACGGACGGACAGCGGAGGCTTAGTAAAATAGGGTTCCGTTGGTTACCCTTCGAAAGAAAAACCTTAGCAAAATATGACGATGGCGATTAAGGGAGATGGAAGACAAATCATTTTTTTCGACGGCATAAACATTTTAATTACTGAAAACTTTATGATGGTCAAGAAGGAAGATACTGAGAAGGAAAAATAATTATATAGTTCTTAGCCCCATTTCGCGAACTTATTTAGTCCCACTCACTAACACCGGTGTATTTATACGAGCTCGCAGCAGTAGTGAAATCGCCTTATATAAGAATCTATAGAAGGAATATAAGAAATAAAAGACTATAGTCGTAGTACTATTATTTATTCTGTGCTATAGTAAATATCACGGCGCGATTTTTCCCCGATCCCCACGGTGCGCTAAGTACCTTAGGGAAATCTTTGTTTCAATGGGCCTGTGACAAAAAGCATCTGGCTCTTAGCTTATAAATACCTACTTTAAGATCTGGCCATTTCACTGGAAGTTCAGTATGTCTAGTATTATTAAAACTAGTTTGTGAAGTATGCGTCTGTTTTTATATTTTCAGGTCATAGAAACGACTCCGGATCCAGAATGGACTTTGCTCTGGTACTTGCGCAAAAAGCTTCATTTAACTGGTACAAAGTATGGTTGCGGAGAAGGCGGTTGCGGTGCTTGTACTGTGATGGTATCTCAGTATAGAAAGGAAGGTCAAATCAAGTATCCTTTTATTATTTTGAACTGAGGTATTAAAAGAATAAAGATCCTCGGAGGTGAATGAAAACCGCAAGTCAGGGCCATAAAATACTTAAACATGTGACATGTGCAAAGAGAGACACATTGGAGCAACTTGGCGAACTAATCTCTCCGTACCCCTATCAGAAATGAGAGAAGGCCTGTGCTGTGCTCTATAATCAGCTGTAGAACGTTTATATGATGTAACTTTGCTTTTTAATTGTACTTCTAATGATATTGTGAAATCATTTTTTTTAATGCGATTTCCGAATGTTGCAAATTTTTCATATACTGGTAAGTAATGAGAGGTAAGTTATGACGAGTAGGCTTATAATACTTTATAATACTTAAAAAAAATTCGGGAAGCGTAGTTTGTAAAGTGATATTTCGTATATTCTTATATTTGTACCATACAACAACGCAACAAGGGCCACCGGCGAACCGTAGGAGAGTAGCCGTAGCGTTTTTCCCGATACAGGACAGCCTGTCATTTTTTGCGGGAGGGGGAATCTACGCACACTAACATAATCGTCTGTCACTACGATACTTACACACACCAATTAAAACAGTAAACTAACAATTTCACACACACACATAGATACATTATAACAGTATCGTTCGGTGACAGCACCAACTCGGATCAGTCGCTCGACCGATCCCCATACAATTATGAGGGCAAGCGGCCTGTGATGGTAAACAGATCTGAAACAACACGACCGTTATTATTGTAATTATGAAGCTTAAAAATTTAAATAGCAATAACCTGATTAAAAATACGGCAACGCCATCTTTTTGTAAATTTGACGTGCCAGCTCTCTTTTTGCACCAAACAAATGAACAATTCGGTATTTTTGTAGGACGTCAATTCAGCCGCGCAACTAGATTTAGTGTAGTGCGCAGTGCGGCTGCAACTAGTTTTGTTGTACACATAGGACCGCGTGGACTTATATTTTGACAGAGGGGAACACATGCGTATGTCGATTCCCCTCCGGCCCGCCGGTGGCCCATGTTTCTCTATAGTTTGTACTGTTATAAAAAAGAAAAATTTGATTAGTTAGATAGTGGCAATTGTAAAAAAGTTGATAAAGCCTAAATCTTCATCTGTACTATTTATAATTAGAGTTTAGGACCAGAAGTTTTTCTTTTGGTTATTTTATAAGCTTTAGACATTAATGAAATTGAGTACAAAGCATAAACCATACGAGTAGTAAAAATCAAGTTTATCCTCACATAAAGTAATAATCAGTCATATTGCTGTCAACGCTTGTTTAACGCCAGTATGCGCCATGCATGGACTCGCTGTTACTACGATCGAAGGAATCGGTTCCACACAAGAGAGACTTCACCCCGTTCAAGAAAGAATAGCTAAATTTCATGGATCACAATGCGGGTTTTGTACTCCAGGCATTGTTATGTCCATGTATGCTTTGTTAAGAAATAAAAACAAAATAAACTATAATGATATAGAGACAGCTCTGCAAGGAAATCTTTGCAGGTGTACTGGATATAGACCTATAATAGATAGCTTTAAAACTTTTATGGAAGATTGGGAGCAACACTATGTAAAGGATGAACAGAATACCTTGTGTGCCATGGGTGAAAATTGTTGTAAGTTAAAAATAAATACCAGTGCTGAAGAGTCCAGTTTAAGTAACACATCAGAATTCATACCTTATAGCCCTACACAAGAACCTATATTCCCTCCAGAGTTAAAACTAAAAGCAGAATTTTATAATTACAATTTATTATATAAAGGTAAAAATGTTACGTGGATAAGACCTACCACACTAGAAAATCTTCTTATGTTGAAAAAAGAATGTCCATTCAGTAAAATTGTTGCGGGCAATACAGAAGTAGGAATCGAAGTTAAGTTCAAGAATAGGAAATATCCAATATTAATATCTCCGATGTTAATAACAGATATGAATAACTGTCTGATCACAGAGACTGGTATTAAAATTGGAGCATCAGTTACTTTAACGGACACAAGTAAATTTTTAAATACCGCGATTGAAAAAAATGCAGATAGCACCAAAGTAGCAAATGCAATAAAAGAAATGCTCCATTGGTTTGCTGGAAGTCAAATTCGGAATGTTGCTACCATAGTAGGCAATGTGATAACGGCAAGCCCTATATCTGATTTAAACCCGATTCTATTCGCAAGTTCTTCTAAATTAAACGTTTGCAGTTCGTCAAAAGGGCATAGAGCAATATTTATTGATAGCGATTTTTTTAAAGATTACCGTAAAGTGGCCCTCGAAGGTGACGAAGTTGTAACCTCCATTGAAATTCCTTTTACAAAAGACAGGCAATTCTTTAAAGCATATAAACAAGCTAGAAGAAGAGACGACGACATATCTATTGTTACTGCAGCATTTAACGTTATATTTGAAGAACAATGTAATATAGTTAAAGAAGCAAAGCTTTGTTTTGGAGGGATGGCACCAACAACTATTTGTGCGAAAAAGGCTTCTAATAATATTTTAGGACTTAAATGGAACGAAAAATTATTAAAAATTGTTTACGATTCACTTACACAAGAACTTGATTTAGATTGCTCTACACCAGGAGGAATGGCTGAGTACCGTAAATCATTGTGTCTAAGCTTGTTTTTCAGATTTTACCTTTTTGTTAGTCAAAAACTCAATATAAATGGCCACATGGTCTTGGATAATCAAATTTCTGCTGCTCAAGAAATAAGTTCTATAGTTCCAAAAAGTTCTCAATGTTTCCAGCTGAAGAAAAATGCTAAAGATTCTTATGATTCCGTTGGTCAACCAATACCTCATTCTTCAGCACTGAAGCAAGCCGCAGGTGAAGCTATTTATTGTGATGATATTCCAGTTGTTGAAGGTGAACTATATTTAACCTTGATTTTCAGTACCGAATCACACGCAAAAATAAAATCTATTGACGCTACCAAAGCCTTATTACAACCGGACGTTGTTTCTTTTATTTCTGCTGTTGATTTACACAAAGAATGTAATAAAATGGGTCCTATAATAAAGGATGAAGAAATATTTTCGTCTCAAATTGTTACTAGTCGAGCTTGCGTTATAGGAGCAATTATAGCTAAATCTGAAAACGCGGCAAAAAAAGCAAAACAGTTGGTTTCCGTTACTTATGAGCCTCTTAAACCAGTAATAATTACTATTGAAGACGCAATAACAAATCAGTCTTTTTTCTATGGATATCCTAAAAAATTAGACAAAGGTAATGTTAAGGAAGCATTTAAGAAGGCAAATCACGTTAAAGAAGGATATATTAGGAGTGGAGCACAAGAACATTTTTATTTGGAAACAATGTCGGCTTTTGCAATAAGGAGAGAAGATGAATTGGAAATTATTACAACTACGCAAAATCCAGCAGAAATAGCCGTAAGAGGGTTTTAAAAGATATTGGTGTATACTCTGTAACTATTCAAAAATTAATATGTATTTGTTTTTGTTATAGAATATAGCATCAGAATCTCTTCGTATACCTAAACATAAAGTTGTTGTTAAAGTTAAGAGGGTTGGTGGTGGTTTTGGAGGCAAAGAAACTAGAGCAACTGTATTAGCCATACCTGTTGCAGTAGCTGCTTATAAACTAAAGAAACCAATTAGGGCTGTTTTAGATAGAGACGAAGACATGCAAGTTTCAGGTTACAGACATCCATTTTTAACAAAATATGAAGTCGCCTTTGATGAGAAAGGTAAAATTATAGGTGCGGTGTTTAACATTTATGCAAATGCTGGAAATTCTATGGATATATCTTGTTCTGTAAGATATTATCACTTTTATTTTATTTATTATTATTTTGAAAACGCAAGTAACAACAATATTTCTTTTGTTTTAGATGATTGATAGAGCAATGAAACACTTAGACAATTGTTATTTTATTCCGAATATTGAAGTTAATGCCTACTTATGTAAGACCAATTTACCGTCAAATACAGCTTTTCGAGGATTTGGTGCACCAAAAGCAATGCTTGCAGCCGAGTGTATGATAAGAGACATAGCTGCAACCTTAAATAAAGATTACGAAGAAATAATCGAAACAAATCTTTATCAGGAAGGACACTTTACACACTTTAATCAGCAACTAACTTATTGCACTTTACATAGATGCTGGAATGAATGCTTAGAAACATCTAATTATTGGTCTAGAAAAGCGGCGGTAAAAGAGTTTAATAGGTAAATATGAAAATCGTACTTACATGAGTAATAAACACCTCTATATACTAAATCACCATATTTACAGGTGTAATAGGTGGAAAAAGAAGGGAATTTCGTTAGTTCCAACTAAATACGGTATTTCTTTCCAAAGTGACGTCTTAATGCAAGCAGGGGCCTTACTTATGATATACAATGACGGATCAGTTCTTTTATCTATTGGAGGCATTGAAATGGGCCAAGGACTGTACACGAAAATGATGCAAGTTGCGTCAACAGCTCTTTCTATAAATATTAATAAAATATATATTAGTGAAATGGCTACTGACAAAGTGCCAAATAGTTCACCAACAGCTGCTAGTATAAGCTCTGACTTATACGGCATGGCAGTTCTCAATGCTTGTCGGACACTATTGCAAAGATTAGCTCCATATAAGAATAAAAACCCTAATAGCAATTGGGAGGATTGGGTGTCAGCTGCTTATCTTGACAGAGTAAATTTATCAACGACCGGTTTTTACGCAGCTCCTAAGATAAAATATGATTCAAAAACTAATTCTGGTGATTTATATGAATATTTCACTTATGGGGTTGCCTGCTCGGAAGTTTTGATCGATTGTTTAACCGGTGATCATCAAGTATTAAGAACAGATATAGTGATGGATGTCGGTGAAAGCTTGAACCCTGCAATTGATATTGGTCAAATTGAAGGAGCTTTTATGCAGGGTTATGGATTTTTTACCATGGAAGAAATGTTATTTGCACCTAATGGAGAAGTATTAACTCGGGGTCCTGGAACATATAAAATACCTGGATTTTCTGATATACCTAAGGAATTTAATGTTTCTTTGCTGAAAGGTGCTCCTAACCCAAGAGCAGTTTATTCATCTAAGGTCTGTGTAAAATCTCATCAATCAATTTAATTATAAATATAGTTTACATGTTGTGTATATTAAAGAAACCCTCAAAATATTGCATAAAGCAGAAAGAAACATAAAGTATAATATTTTCATGGGTTTTTTTGTTTTACGATTACAACACTTTGTCCTTAGGCGGTTGGCGAGCCACCTCTATTCTTAGCTGCTTCCGTTTTCTTTGCTCTTAAAGAAGCAATTAAATCAGCAAGATCAGAGTGTGGCGCAAGTTCAGAATTTACATTAGAAGCACCAGCTACATGTGCGCGAATCAGAATGGCTTGCGAAGACCACATAACGAAACAGGTATTTAGCTAGCCTTGTTTACTGAACTAAAGGATTTTTTTTTATTTTAAAGATAAAAAACCGCGTAACAATAATACATGTACCACATACCATCATTATTCTTTAATTTACAAATTGTATATATAAATATTTTCTTCTCACATTCTAAAATTCTACGGCATGTCGGAAGCCTCCCAAGTAGCGAGGGGTTTTGCAGTTGCTGACCATCCATCCATCACAGCCCATAAAGTCCAATGCTGAACATGGGCATGGGGATCCATATATTGTCATATGGGGAATTTTGCCATAGTTGCCACACTTGGCAGGCGGGTTGGCAACCGCAGTATTTTTATTATTTTGAGTTGTTATCAGGAAGATGCCGCTGGCCATCTCCTGTTTCACTTTCCCTCTGTTGTCTCTTACTACACCCACGGGACGATTATTGGGGGTAGTGGATTTTCTGACACCGCCATTACACGATTGTTAATTAAGGAAGCTCGTTTAACAGGTAGCAGTTAATTAACTAAGATAATAGAAAGGGAGGTAGGGAAGGTATATGGTAAAAGTGAGTATAGAATCATTTGAAAAAAAATTGTTGAAAAATGATAATATAATGATACCCCAGAGAAAATGGAAGAAGTCAATGATGGTTTGGTGTACAGTATAACATGCGTCAATCTCTGGTCAAGCAATTAGAATGTACAGGTATATTAATTTAAGAACTAGGTTTTGTCACTCCTAGCGGATACTGATCTATCTGGATAATGTAGATCAGGCAATTTTTGAAATGAACATTTTATTAGTTGTTACATGCCACGCGATTTTAGTGGCATCTTTCACCCAGAGCATTCACAGTCGCATCGGTAGCAAATGGGACGATGGATTATCTTACAAAACTACATAACAATAAATCCGCACGTTTTATCAAAATATTATTTATTTCTTAAGATTATAATATAAATGCAGGAGTTTTATACACTGTCCACTTGTTTGTTTTAGGTCAAACCAACCATTAAGACAGGTGGCCAACCTTGGAATGTCACAGTGTAAAGATTTTAGGTTAAAGAATTTAAAACATACTTTTAAATAAAAATATTTACAAAAGCTAGCTTTTTATTTCTAATCCAAATTTATTTTAAACTGATGTTTATCAAAAAGTATCGTTTTGACTAATGACCGCCGACTTAGTATTCAGATACCCAACTACTTCTCTTGTGGTGCCATGTTTGAACTTCAATTGTTACTATCATGTAAGCGTTATTGGGCATGTGTATGTAATAGGGTATTACACCCATTTTCAAATAGTTGTAATATATGAATCCCAGAGTGATAATGATCCACTATAATTTTTATGTACATTTTTTTAAAACCGAATAGTACCATTAAAATTAATTTTAGTTAACGTTTTAAATTAAAAGTAATTTTTATGGCATTATTTTAGTTTTCGCGCGAAAAGGCTAGCCGCTCTTTCTGTTCAGCTTATGACGTCACGGCGCTAATGAATAAAACGATTTTGCGAAGGAATAAGATATTTTTAGATGTGCAATAATGATTTATCATCTTTATCATTGGTGTGATGTGCCTGATTGCAAAAATACGAGTATAAGAACGCCGGGGAAGTCATGGATTCAAGACGTGTCAACTGATTTAAATTTGAGAAATACTTGATTAAAACTGGCAAGAAGAGACCAGAATACATTGTATACAAAAACTAGACTATACTTCTGTGAAAATCACTTTGATGTGAGTGTGACTTATAATTAGCTATCGTTTAAACCAAAACAAAACATCATAACCTGATAGGTATTGTAAGACAAATTTCGTAATAGATATTATCACAGAATAAATAATAGTACCTACAAGACTGTTATTTATTCTGTGGTTATAAATAATGATTTCAAATGTCATAAAGATTATTGCATGTTTTAGTTGGAGAAGGACATGAAGAATTACTTTGTGTATTGTAAACTTAACTACACATGTGTTTTGCACCCTCTTGAGCTATACGTAGTATTTAGTTTATATCTGTTGATCCATCCCGTAAGATTTTCGGACCTTAAAACAAAAATTAGGTTATGTGACATTCATACTAATCATAGATAAACATAACTATGTATTATCAAAAGATACTGATCTGGTAACAAAAGATACTGATCTGGTAGTGTGTTATTGTTTAAACAAAAGTTGTTAATAGGTACTTACATTGATATTTTAACATTACTCAACTCGACAGAACAAAAATCGCATGCATGCAAACAATTTTGCCACCATCAATGTATTTACACTTGATATATAAGTACTTTCTGCTTTTACGAATCCATCTTCCTTGATGCCATTTGAATAAAATCTATACATATAATACAATCTATACATATAATAAAATCTATATCTATATCTATAATAAAACTGTAAATAGCAGACGTCTGTACATTTTATATTTGTTTAATAAAAGTGATTGAGGGGTACTAAAAATAAGTAATTAAATACATTTCTACCATTTTTAGAATTTTCTGTCTGTCTGTCTGTCTGTTTGTTTGTTAACGTATCACGTATAAAGTACTAATTTCTATCATAAGAATCGTTAAGGAAATTATAAAGTGTATCTTCGGGTTACATTTAGTCTTTATCTTTATTTCATTAAAATCAGTTCATTCCATCAAAAGTTGTGATAAATATTCTGAAGTATGGGTACTAAGTATAGGTACGAATTTGTTCATTAGTGGCGTTGGATGAGTCATCAAGTACATTTTAAATTAATATCATATTATAAATCATAATTGAATGATGTAAAATAATGTTCTATAATGATATAATTATATCTAAAACGCAGTAAACAAAAGTATTACATAAAGAACGTAATAAATATATACAAAAATATATTAACCTTATTATCTAAATCTAAAGTACAATAGTTAATCAATTTCATCGATAGATGGTGATGTTGCACATATGTGATACCAAATAATATTTGGTATCACATTTGTGCAATATATCTGTTGACAATAAATTAAAAAAAGGCAGGTTAAGGTTTTTTCCTGTAGATGAGTTTCATATTTGCTTCTAAACTTTATATTACACGCTGCCCTACTGCGTGTTGACAATCTCATTTATTTTTTACCGCCGAGTACTCTATGTGGTAAATCAAAGTTTAAAAGAGCTATTAACAATTTCGTTTTTCGGCGAGGATCAAACTTCCTTTTTTACTTACTATGCAGGCACTGATGTATAAGTTCTTTTATGTTTTTTATTGTATCAATCGCGTCAATTAATCTCTTATTTTTAGAATTGATGTTAACAGCGCCATCTCTCTTTAAATCTATACATATAATAAAAATGGTGATAACATGTTGTCTGTTTCTGTACATTGTATATGTTGGCGACGCGTCTTTAAAAACATTTCAATTTATTAGTTAACCGATTACGAATAGCTTCTAAAACCGAAAATTTCAAGTCATAATATTCTAATAAGAAAACGCTTAGTTGAATCTTAAAGAAATGTCGAATTAATAATTTGAAAGTCTTGGGTTCGATTCCCAGGACAGACTAGTTCATATTTTCTTAATAAAATTCATAAAGGGAATTTTTAAGATATAAGTTATGTTTCCGGGTTCAGTTCCCCGGTTGAGACCACCTTTCCAATAATATTGATAATTTAAAGAAATATTAAAATAAAGTTAAAGACCAGGATTTGTTCCCCGGTCGAAATGATCACTTTGTGAATAAGTGAAATTAATGTAGAATAATTGCATAAACATTGTCTTATATAAGTTTGATACGTTTTGTACGAAAGTAAAATGTCTATTTTCAACGTTTGGTTCATGGAATATTTTCTTTGTGTTATCTGATAAGAACCTGATAACTGATAACAACTTTGATAACTGATAAGAGATTCTTATTAGATACTACCTTGCCGACAATGGGGGTCGTATAGGAATCAGTTACCCATCTTGTGGTAATGGTCAGCAGAGAAATAGGCTAAAATTGCCACCTGCTTTACCGACAACGACGTGTGGGGTGAAAGTTCGTTGTTCATCTAGCTGCAGATACCAGCAGCGCGCTAATCTGTAGAATCAAAGTTTAAATAAATGGAAATTTAAATGTTTGTAAATTTCAACAATTTGTGTAAAATTGACTTGTAAAATGTTTCAGGTTGACTGTATGAGCAAAATAGATGAATTGTGTGTTGTTTTCATGTATAAATTCCTACAGAATAGTGAAATATTGATAGTTTTGTATAAAAAGTTTAAAAGTGTTTTAAATGGTAAAATATATAAGAAAAATGTAAATTAAACTATTGTATTAGTTAAGATATTTGTATTTTCAAATAAAGAACATTCCCCCCACCACGCCGAAAACCACCAGAAATGCGTCCAGTACTGGACAGGCCCCTCATGGAGCGAGACCTTTTCGTTCCTGAGAGGTCGAGAGTGCTCCCACCTTATAGCCAACTCCCGAGGCGGATAGGCAGTATACCGGCCACCGGCGCCGCGCTCGGCGCAGGTGAAGCTGTGTCTCCACCTAGCGTCGACTCGGTTCCTCTTCCACGCCGGAACCTAGCCTCGCGGAGGAGAACTTCTCCACAACTTGAGGAAGACGAACTCCAAGAGCAGAAAAGGCTAAAGGCCGGATCGGACTCATTATCTGAATCGGCCTCGCCTTCCAACTTAACTTCAACATCATTACCATTCGAAAAAAGAGAAATACCACCTATAACGAGACGTAATACCCCACCCGATTCACCATCACCACCACCAAACACACCTCCGGTCGGTATGATAGACATACAGGAATTCGAAGAGCAGGACCCAGAAGGGGAGAGGGCATGGGACAACACGTCCTACGCCACCCTCCCCCCTATACAACAGGAACCTACACCAGGACCATCCTCGGCGCCACATTCATATGCAGGCGCTGCAGCAGCCCCAAGAATGGCACCGCCATCCCCACCACTATCTGCACAAACGCCAGATCAAACTACCGGAAGGCAAACGGCCAAGTACCCCTCCATAATCGTCGAATGCTTCCCCGATTGGGCGAAACATTTTAAAACACTCCACCAAATTCTAGGTCACGCTCCAAATGCCCGCCCATATGGAAAAGGTGTAAGGTTCAGGCCCCAATCCGACATAATGTACCGTAAAACTCAAAAATACCTGATAGAGCGTAGCAAAGAGGATGCCACCTTCGCGTAGTATTGCTACGCTCCCCAAGACGAACAATCCACAAAGGTGGGGCTTCGAGGGCTCCCCGCCGACACGGACCCTAAAGATATCCAGGAGGCCCTTATTGAGAAGGGCTTCCCGGTCACGTTTGTACGGGCCATTCCTCCCAAAAGAGACAGACCTGGGCGTCTGTTCCATGTTAAAATGGACCACCTGTCACCCAAAGAATTAAGTAGGCTCTATAAAATCGATGAGCTACTGTTCATGCCTGGTGTCACCATCGAGGGCTGGCAAGGAAGAGCTGGCCCATCACAATGTCACAGATGCCAGGGGTTTGGCCATGCATCTTACAATTGCTACCGGCCTGTTAAATGTGTCCGCTGTGCGGGCGACCACATCGCATCGGAATGTACACAGCCTCGAGATGCCTAGCTTAAGTGCGCAAACTGCACAAAGGCTCACCCGGCAAACGATAGGCGGTGCCCAGTGCTGCAGCGGATTGCACGGAAGAGGGGTATAAACATACAACTTCCCATGCCTTCGCAGAGAGCACAGGTACCTCAGAGGCAACCACCGCCACCACCACCACCTGAAACACAACAGCAACCCCAATGGCAGCTACCACAACAACTACCCCAGGTGCCACAGCAACCACAACGGCAGGTTACACTACCTGCCCCGGCACCAACTACATCTGCAACAACTGGGGCAACACTGGCCACACCTGCAAATGATCCCATTGAGCGCATAGAGCGCCCTAAGAAAAAGAAAAGAGGTAAAAAGAAGAAGAAGAAGACGGCCATACAGGAACAGGTCCGAGGTACGTCCACTCCTCTTCTTCCCTCTACCGCCACCATACAGCAGCGGCAACAACAGCCGCGCCCTACGACCTTCCCTGGTGCCAACCCAATAGTACAGACAAACATATACCAATCCCGAGATCAACCACCCCAACGTAGGACTGAAACAGGCACACTCCAACCTCTGACCCAGACCCAGGCTCCAACAACCATTGAAGAGGCCCTCGCCCAACTAGTGGGAGTGGTCATAAAAATCCTGGGTGAAGTCCTCACCGCTATGACCACACCAACCCCCTTTCGGCGATTCTCAGCGCCCTAGCCCAACTCTCCACTGTTAACAGAGGGCCATCAAATTAGAATCTGCTATTGGAACCCCGGCGGCATCACAGGGAAGGTCGCCGACTTACGTACGTTGGTCCAGCAGCACAAAATCCAGGTTGTGCTGCTGGGGGAAACTAAACTGCACCCCTCTGCTAAATTGAAACTCCCCAACTTCTTCGTGTCACCGTCATGATGTCATGACTCATCGACATGATGAGATCTCCCCGGAAGGAGTCGCGTACAGAGGTACTGCGGCCCTTGTGAGGAGAGACGTCATGCACGAAGAAGTTGATACAATCACCGACTTCATAGCCACGAGGACAAAGGGCATAAGGTTGAAGGTGAGGACCGCTGATACGAGGGTCTTCGCCGCTTACCGACCCCTAATACCTCGTTAGCCCCCCAGGACTTAAGGAACATATTCAATGCAAGCTCATCCGCAATAATCGCAGGAGACCTCAATGCCAAACACCTACCTTGGGGCTCCTCGAAAATCACACCTCCTGGGAGGAAACACTATGAAGACGCTGAAGAATGGGGATACGAGGTATTGGGCCCAGATGAGCCTACCCATTTCCCCTTGCAACCCCTGCACCAGCCCGATGTCCTCGACATAGTGTTGTGCCACAAAATGCCGTATCCAATACGATTAGAGGTGCTGTATGATGTAGACACACAGCACCTTCCCGTATTGTTCACCATAGATACCACTGCGGATGCCGTTGTGTCCAGAAGACCCCAGATGAGGACAAACTGGACTCGCTTCCGCAGAGCGCTAGAGGACTTCCGTCTCGGCGCCTCCATTACCACCAGAGAAGATGTGGAGACAGCGGCCCTGCAACTTCATTCAACAATCCAAAACCAACTACAACTCTCCTCACACCCTGTCTCCACGGGGCGCCGAGGGGAGGAATTCCCTAGAAACCTTCAACTACAGCTGTCCGAGAAGCGGAAGCTGAGGAAGCTCTGGGCACGAACACGGTGTCCAATATTAAAGCGAAAATTAAACTCCATGACGGAAGAGCTGTCAATGGCGATAAGAGCGCACCGGGGAGAGGCATGGGAGAGGCGAGTCGACGAAGCTTCGGAGACACCCGCCTCCCTGCATCTCCTCAATCGACAGCTCACAAGAACACCACCACCTGTTTGCCCACTTGTGGACAACACGGGGAAAAGGATCTATGACGCTCAAAAGAGGGCGGAAATGATGGCACAACACCTGGAACAACAATTTAAACCCAATAGCGTAGCAGAGGGGTACGCAGAGCATGTAGAAAGCATAATAAACCGCGTGCAGGAATACCTGTCGAACCCGGCGCCACCACTACGGGGCGATGACTTTTCCTCGCCAGCGGAGGTAAGGCGCGCCATTATGCGCCTGCCTAACCGCAAAGCGCCAGGACGCGACGGTATTACCATCATGGCCTTAAAGCAGCTGCCCAGAAGGGGGGATAGTGGAGCTCTCCAGGCTCTATAATGGCATTTTGAGAACTGGCCACTTCCCGACCAACTGGAAGCAGGGCAAGATCATTGTGCTACCAAAGCCGGGGAAGGATAGGAGGTACCCGGCTAGCTACCGCCCCATAACGCTATTACCGCACATAGCGAAACTTTTTGAGAAAATTACACTCCAAAGAATATTGCCACATGTTGCTCTGCGTGAGGAGCAATTTGGCTTCCGCAGAGCACATTCCACCACAGCACAACTAGCCCGCGTGCTACACTATCTTGCGACCGAATATAACCGGGGCCGCATCAGTGTGGGGGCCTTCTCGATATGGAGAAGGCCTTCGACAGAGTGTGGCACGCAGGGCTACTATACAAATTAATAGAGAATACCACCTTGCCGCCAATGCTTGTGCGGCTAATAGCGTCGTTTCTGGAGGGACGCAGCTTTTACGTCAATATCGAACAGGCTGTTTCGGTAGCACGACCGATCGAAGCGGGAGTGCCACAGGGCAGCTGCCTGTCACCGCACCTGTACGCGGTTTATACAAATGACATCCCCACACTCCAAGGCCTCATGGAGGAGTGGGAAGAAGATGTCGTCTTAGCCCTGTATGCAGACGACAATGCGTACTTCACGTCATCTCGTCGGGTAGAGATCGCGGCCAAAAAGATGCAGCGTCTGCTCGATCTGTTACCTCAGTTCCTGGATAAATGGAGGATGACGGTCAACGTCGGGAAGACCGTCGCCTTCAAGACCAGGCTGACGCATACACCACCAACCCTAAAACTCCGTGGGCAGGACGTGGGTTGGGCAACTACCATCACGTATCTAGGATGCCAGATAGACCGCTCGCTGCGCATGACCCCGATGCTCGACCACGTTGTGCGTCAAGCCAGAGTCGCGCGAGCGAAACTATATCCTATACTGGCGTCCAAACTCCCTATAAAAGCCAAAATTTCCATCTACAAAAACTATGTCCGCTCACGGCTGACGTACGCAGCGCCAGCCTGGTACGCGTTGACCTCAGCCACTCAGCGTAAGAGGATGCAGGCCCAGCAGAATCTTGCACTTAGAGTGATCGTGGGAGCCGGCCGTTACGTCAGGAATGATGTTATTTCCAGAGATCTAAAGATCGAATCCATACATGACTTCGTGGCCCGTACTGCGAGACGGTTGTTCGACCGCGCAGATAACGGGCCACATCCACACCTGCAAAATCTAGCTCCACTCCACGCCCGCCCACCTGACGGGCGGCCGTTCCCACGAGAACTTCTTTGCTCACCGCCCGGCGACGGGGATGCCGGGGACGAGTGAGAGTCCCGACGCCCGAGCTGATGGCGTGTAGTACGCAACACACCAACGTACAAGCTGCGCACAATCGCAGCACCCAGGACCGGGGGAGCCGTTGCCCCCCGCGATGATACCCAGGTAGAGAGGGACACCTCGAGACCTGTAGAACCTCCTGTCCCCAGAAGGGGGACCAACAGGAGAAGAATACCGATGATGTAAATCGTTCGGGACCAACTACCAGTATATAATATAATCAAGAAAGAAAAGTATATAGGGAAGTGATAGGGAAAGTAATTACTCTCTAACGGAACGATTTGAAGATAATTGCTGTTTTATTCCCAAGGGATCCTTCACCTTTAAAAATAAGTACAGTCCTTCTGGTGTCGCCGGAGCGGCACATATTGAAGAATTAAGGCGTTGGGATCGGGACGACCTCGGAAGACCCGTAATCCCCGTCTGAACCTATTTGAAGAAAAGGAAGAGGTTCACGCCCTTGTGTGTTACTCCGTTGCGGGGTTCACATACATTGTTCCCGAACCCAACGTAGGCGTCTTAGGCAGGATTTAGCTCCGTCCTTTTCAATTGATCCTTTGAGGAGAGGTCTATGTCCTTTTCAATTGGTCCTTTGAGAAGACGGATTAAGAAGCGATTTAACTTCCTGTGTTTCTTTTAATTGCTCCTTCGCAGCCGAAGGAAGAAACGATTCAGCTCTGTTCCTTTTCAGTGTAGTATATTAATTTGTGACTAAAATCATTATGGGAACTGAAAATCATTAAATAAGTACATTTTTATAATTTTTAGAATTGTACTGTCTGACAGTCTGTCTGTTTGTTTATGAACCCATGACGTTTTGAGTAAACATCTTTTTCTTTTTTTTTATAGGAGAGGGGGCAAACGAGCATGCGGCTCACCTGATGGTAAGTGACTACCGCCGCCCATGAACAACTGCAACACCAGGGGAATCGCAGATGCG